GTTCCCTTGAATGGATAGCTCTTGTTCTTGGTTGTGAGTTTTGGGTGTTGGGTTGTTTTTTTTTTTTAATTAAAAAAAAAATGACAAGGCACATTTTCTCTTTTACCTGAAAAAAATGTTCCAGAGCACAGCATATCTCAGCAGCGTGAGCATTTTCTGGTCAGTCAACAAATCTTTTTAGGAAAACTTCATTTTTCTTTTTTGAGGTTGTGTGTCTCTGTAATCTTTGTTCAGCTTCACTCATATTTAACTCTTCTTTAGTATTTTTACAGGAAGTAAATTCCTTTTTAAACCCTTCGTTGTGCATTCATTGTGGAGGCAATAAACACACGAAGACATGCCATTTCAAAGTTCCAGTAGTATGCCTTGCAAATAAATGCACAGTTATATGTAATAAAAAACCCCAAAATAGTTCTTTGCAGTAAGAGCTGGAAGCATGTGCATTTTTGGAATTCATTGTAGATCATCAGGCATAAGTTTTTGGTATAAAACTTAGTTTCTAGAAACATTTGCACTGTAGAAGCACCTTTTTCTCACCCTGAACAAGGGTAAATACAGTTCATAATTTCCTCTTTGCACAGGACTACCGTGACTGAACAGTTATAAACATCTAATCTTGAACAACTCATCATAGCATTTAAGCGATATTAAAATGGTGATTAGAGTACTGAAATATTTTGCTTTCCTAAACTATTCCTAAGATTTTGATTGCTTTAGGCACATGCAGTTATTAATCCCAAGGCACCGAGAGGGTAACCAAGCTCTTATTAACTGCTAAATTTTGGACAATATAGTAATAAAGAAAAGGGAGAATGCTACAGAAATGGAGATCCTTCCCTACTTCAAGAGGCTAGTAAACGAAAGTCTTTTTTAAACAAACAAAAAAACCCAACAAACCCCAAACCTACCTAGCTCAACATAGTATATTTAGCTGTTGACAAAGAAAAAAAGATACATAGGAGCTCAGCACAGACCATCTACTCTGTTAAATTGAAGGTACCTTACTCTGAGAAATAGAAAAAATTAAATTTTTGTTGTGTATTGCATAAGGCTTATGAATGGAGAGGACTGAAAGCCTGCTCTAAATCCGTGGATTGCCATTTTGGTTTTTGAGATGTGCTCACTTGTTTAGTACCTTCCCTTCCTCAGTGCCACCATCATGCCAGCAGAAAGCTCTGCTTGTGCATGCACACAGCAGAAGGAAGAAATGCATCTCCCAAGATCACTGAGTGTTACGTCAGTGTGAAGTTAGAGCTCTGTTATCCTGTGTGGTCCTCACAGGAGTACCTCCCAGGAGTGGAGTGGCATCCCTGTACTGGAGAGCGTAGTTCTGTCAGCCTCACACCAATGGAGACTTTCCTGTGTTGGGCAGAGTCCCCATTTCGGCTAGGGTTTGGCTCAGGGTTTGGCTGCCAGAGTAGCAACTAAAGCCTGATTCCAAACAGTGAGTCAGCCTTAAAAAAAACAGTGTAACTGAACAGGTACCTCCAAACCTGCTGTAAAGGAGAATATTGAAGAACTAGTGAAGCCACTAGAAGGTAAGGAGCCAACTAATATGGTTTCTGACACAAATTCAAAGGTCATATCTCTTACTAGTCTTTTACTACTGAAAGAATTTAGATGAATCATCTCTGTAAGAATCCTTAGACTCAAAGAGCTGCCCTTGAAGTAACTCGCTTGAATGGGATTTAAAAGGTGAATTAATTTTTACTATAAAGCATCTCCTTGCTTGGCTTAGATTAAAGAAGAAAAATGCAGTTTCCAAGCTTTTGATTACAAAGGAACTTCACCACCAGCCAGTTATTGCTGTGGTCCTTAAAAGATTTAAAGCTTGCCCTATGCCAAAGCTCTATTTAACACTGCACACCTCACTATATTTAACACTACGTTATTTGCCATTCATAAGCAAGTTAATAAAATCTTATATATGTGAATATGTTTTCATCTTGGAAGTTTTCCACAATTCCTAACATGGCTTAAGTTGCCCTACTTCCGCTTGAATTAAGACTTAATTAGAAAGATGTGCTCATTGCCTTAGTAACCTGTAGAACCATGGGATGGTAGTAAAGTTGGGAATACTACTAATGGTAAGTGTAAAATTACCAGATTCAAAGACAAATGCTTAAGGTAAAACACAAGCTTTCTAGAGATAATAGGCATCTAGTACAAAGGACTAAGTCAAAATACTAAACTTGAACTAATTTGAGTTAAACTAAATCATGAGTATGCGTATCTTGGATCTTCAGTGTAATTTTGATTTCAGCAAGCTTGAAAAAAAACTCCAAAAGCATTACGGAGCAGGATAAAAAAAACCACCACCACAATAGTCATAACTACATTTGCAGAAAGAAAGCAGCTTCCTGCTTAAGTGGATTCCAAAGATGACATGCATGGAGAAAGACAGACTGTCACATTGAATTCTTAGTTCAACAGACATTTCAGAAGGCATGTTTATGCAGACTTGGTGCATGTTTGCAGAAGATAGTTTTCCATTTAGTTTCAAGTAGAATTTCAAGCAGTCTTAAAGTTTGGTTGAAAAGCACCATTATGTATACAGTTCTTTCAAAATAGTTCTTCCAGCCCAGAATGTAGTCACCAGTAACAGGTACTCAGTTTTCACAAAGTAGCAAGCTTTGGATCTGGGACTACATCATTAATTTGGAGGTCTGGCTTTGGTGACTATTGGTGTTCTTTTGAATGCCGATAAATAATGGAGATAAACTAGTAATTCAGTGCAAATTACACACAACGCATCGAGCCTTGGGCATGCACGGTTCTACTCACAGGTCATGTTTTTGGGGGCCTGCCAATGACTGAACTTGCAGTCAATTCAAGGTTTAGGCTATATCTGCATTAGCAAGTAATACACTGCAGTAGGGGCAAAGCTGTAGAGTAAAATGGTTGGTGCTGAGAACCTGACATCCCTGCACTATCTTTAAAGTTTTTATTTCAGCCTAGAAATAAAAAACTTTTCTATTTCAGCCCAGACTCTGGTCTGGTCCAGCTGAATACCCATTAAACAGGTCAAATGCAGTTAGAGGCATTCCAACAGCATATTTCTTGCTTGAGTTTTGCTGTAAGTGAATCCAGTTTGTGCACTGAGAACCCTGCTCTAACAAGCCAGACTATGGTAAATGGTCTGCTAGCTTGGAAAGCATAGAAAAGCCCTTAGTTAAATATTAAGGTAACTAAAAACGTTTTTTTTTTAATATACTTAGCGCAGTGTTCCTGCTGGTTTCCATTTTGAAAGTGTTAATTCACAGAACACTTAAGGTACATATAATAATCTTGAAACAATTATTCTAGGTTCAGCTCCCCCCCATTTTCCAGGTGCAGGAGTCTTTTTGATGTCACATCCAAAAAAGCCATCACTAGAAGTATTATGGTTGCATAGCAACCTCAATGTGATAAATAACTGGTTTAAAGCAGTCCTCTGCTGTGTATTTCTTTTCCAACAGGAGCCAAACAGTTTCCTACCACTGCAACTAATAAAACTCTTGAAAAACATATGCAGTTTTATGACTAAATAAGACATTTCTTTATTCAAATATCTTCTTATTTCTGGGCACTATCACCAGATTACTACACCAAGTTATCTTAAAGTATGCAGTATTCCAGCATTATTTCTCTGCAAACAGAACATAAAGCCCCATCTTGTCTCCCTCCCCACTTGGATTATCAGTTGAAAGCACAACAGAAATATTCTATGTATGAAGGTAGAAATGAACTAATATAATACTAGTAATCCAGCTATAATTTGCAAAAGAGTTAGTTTTTTACTTAGTCAGCTACAGTGGAAAAAGTCTTCTCAACAGAAAAAAACCTAAACATGGACATACACAACATACAAGTTATATATTCCCAGTTTTATTTATTTTTATGGAATGCTAGTTTAGTTACAATATGGCAGTTCATTACTACTGAAATGTGACATTAATTCATCTCCAATGCTGCAGAACAGTCTTGATTTATATATATTGTTTTAAAACAATCTTATTTTACATAGTTGAGGTCTCTGGTGGTTTTTAAGCTCTGATGCTTAAGCACACAGCAAGCTACAAACCTTAGGTTTTATATTTATACATATATTCTATGTATTCAGACAACTGCTGTAAGTTATCTATAATTTAATATTTATAAAAAGTGCATATACTGGTACATATGCACATCTAGAAACACACTTCTACTACTGCCTCCCTTTTATAAAAAGCTGCATAACATACAGCCATATTATTCTCACTCGCTGCTATTAAAGTCCTTTACTGTCTTTGTTACACAATTTCAACTATTCAATTCCCTCAAACTGAATGTAGGTATTTCTATGTATATTTTCTCCTAAAGAAAAAAGTCCTCCCTATTCCTTTAAGAAGCTTTAAATCATGCATCAGTTTAGTAAACAGTCACTTTAGCATGGATTTTAGAATCCTAGACAGTGTAAAATCTACTTCTGGAAAATGTCTGTCTGTATATTTAATTTCTTCTTTTAGTTACAAAAAATATATAGGATTGAAACATACTGAATACATGCATCTCTCAAAATGGCTATATTCTAGCCTTATAGATAAATAAAAAAGTACACCCCTGCTAATAGGATGCAAACATGGCCACAAATAGGCCATTACCTGTATTTAATATAGCTCATTACATTAAAAAGTTCAAGTCAGCTGTTCTCTTAAGATGGTGTCAAAAGACTGAAGAGCGTAATATATTTATACTCAATATACAAAGGTGGGTGCACATACCTAGTGCCATTTAATTATTCAATACTTTCAAGGCTTCTATGCTTTGCCTCTGGTGATACAACTCCTGAAATGATCTGAATGAAAGTTTAAGTTGAAAATTGTTTTTTAATATACCATAAAAGCAAGTTGTGTTTAAAAGAAAAAATGTACACTGAACAACCTGAAGTACTCACTGAAACAACTGTACAAAACTATTATAGATACAGAAAGAAGTAACGGTGGACTTAACTTCAAACAGAAGTAACGCTTGTTAACATATGTAAAAACTTCCTTTGTTTTATTCTTCTACCAAGTAAGAATTTGCAGCCGTTCAGAACAAGTAAAATTCAAACCACCTCACAATGTTTACATTTAAAGTTCTTTTATACAGTGCAAACGTTTAAGACAGAATAACTCCCCAGTGAAACAGCTGACACTACTCAGTGCCAGTCTTTTGAAGATTCTTCTTTCAATAAGTCTATTTACATATTAAGCTAAAGGTTCACTATATATGCTTTGAAGTTTGCTGAATATCAGCAGAAAAATACGTGAACTAGCAGCAGTTGTATTACGAATATATGATGGTTACTTTAATGAATGCATAAAGTTTTCAAGACTGTATTCAGTGTCATACTGTTCTTGATCCCATAGTTCTCCAAGGTTTTCGAGTACTGATTTCATTGATGCTTTCCCAGAAGAGGTAGAGGTATCTGCTTTTTCAGTTTTTCCATCCTTCACAAAAGAAAAAAAAATCAATTAATATACAATACAAAATAATGTTTTCAGGAATATACTAAATTGTTCGAGTCTGATGATTCTTTTGGGGAAATACCACTTCCTCCTGTTTTTCAGAGAGCTGTCTATTACTCATCATTCCAACTTCAAGTGTTTGTCTGATTAAATTTTACATTTTGAAGCAAAGCTTTTCCCTAAGCTTGCTCTATTTTTGGTAGGTATTTGTAAAAATGGTTCTTTACCTTGTCAAGAGTGAACAGATCAAGAAGCTGTTCTGTTCCCATGCTCTGTAGGCTTGCGTTCTCTTGGCTGATCACTGTATTTGCAATATTCATTTTGAACTTTTGAAGACCCATGATCTTCTCCTCCAGAGTTCCCCTGGTTATCAGGCGATATACATTAACAACACGTTTCTGAAAGAAAAAAAAAAGCACACTAGCTAAAAAATATCATCTTAGGTATTCAAGAAAGCATAACCTTTTACTATTCATCATGGACAGTCTGGAAGCAGTTTGGCTTGGCGTTACCCTTCAGTAATTGTACTCAGTAAGTCTGATGTTAGATGAAAAGAATGAGACTATGCTAGCATAGTAGAGGCACCTGCAATTGCATCTGTATTCAGGAAGTTAAGAATTCACTGCTTTTTACAGCTGTAGAGGGGGACTAACAGCAGTCATTCTTTCCCTGTCCAGGCATCAGAGGACAACCCTGTGGGGCTTCCCTTCAGTTCCTTGTCTCAGCTGCATCTTTTCCTCCACTGAGGGGTGATTCTTCCATGGCTGCTCCTCAGCAGCTCAGGAAGTACAGAAGAGAAGGCATACCAAGTTGGGGATAGGATAAGAAAGTACACTTTAACATCTGGCATATTTGCAAGAAAGCAGTATGAATGAAAGCTGGGTGGAAACCCCCAGATGTCACTTTTATTATATGCTACAACCTTATCCAAATTTGAAGAAACAGGAGTTCAGCAAGGGAAAAAACTTAGGGGAAGTTAAGAGTTTTTCACCTGCCCAATGCGATGTGCCCGATCCATGGCTTGCAGGTCTCTCATTGGGTTCCAGTCATGTTCCACAAATACTACTGTATCAGCCCCTGTTAAGTTAAGTCCCAATCCACCAACGTGAGTGGTGAGCAAGAGAACATCTATAGATGGGTCATTATTAAACCTGTATACAAAAAAAGTTAAGCATGGTAAATTCCATTTGAATAATGAATTTATGAACCTCAACTGCTTTGAGGCAGACAGAAGAATTTTGTACCATATAAGTAATATAGTTCATTACAGTTGGCCTCATATTGATTATAAATGGATATACTTACCGTGAAACAATGGAATGCCTCTGACCAGCAGGTATGCTGCCATCTAGTCGTAAATAGGTAACTGAAGGTAACTGAGGTCTGAGAAGGTCATGCTCGACTATATCCAGCATGCTTTTAAGTTGACAGAAGATAAGTACTCTGTGCTGGGCCACAACAGCTTCTGTACCGCTTTCTGAAGATCCACCATTACCTAAACCACAGTCTAGCAGCAGCTTAAAGTAAAAGAACATTAAAGTTTATCATCAAAATGACAGTAGATCTCATGTAAGTATTGACATTGATGGACTATCAAAAGTAGAAATAAGAGACACAATAGACTACAGAAGGAAGTCTGTAAATGACAGTCACTTATATGACATAATGCAAAGTTTGGCTTCACTGTCAAACTATGAAAAATTTAACAGTCGACAGAATAGTAATTTTCTTCATTTTGCTTTACGTACAATAGAATTTAATTATGTAATGCGGTCTAACTATCAAGCTAATAGTCTCCTGTACAGTAAGTAGGAGAAAAGTTTTTCTGTAACGAGGGATAGGAGTAAGAAACAGAATAAAAGTATGGTTTTTGACAAGGCAGCAAAAATTATGTAAACATCATCACCTTGAAGCAAGATTGTGTTTCCCCCTCCCCCTTGAATTAACAGGAAAAATAGGGCATATGCCTAAAAACCCCTCATACTCTATTTCATTTGCTACTTAACTAGTGTTTTAAGATCAGTTTTCATATTGATGAAGTCTTAAACAAAACCTTCTAAATTGTAACATCAGTAGAGACACATTTAGGAAATTTAAGGCACAACGTGCAAGTCTACTTACTTGTTTTAAAGCAGACAGCTTAGGTGCATGTTGGATATCTCGAAGAGATGAATTATGAGTTGCAAGTTGCTCTGTAATTCTTTTATATTCTGGATGTTGCGTTGTTAACACTAATGCTGGATGGTTGCATAGCTTCCGTAAGTATTGCAACGCCTTTAATTATTTAGTAAATTAAGTTCAAAGAAATGGTTAGCAATAATGTAGTTACAGAAGAAGAATGAACAAAATTGATTATAAGTATATGGGGCCACTCAGCCACATTCCACAACTAGGACTTTAGGGTATATTTTCATTACAATAAAGTTTCTTATATTAAGATAACCTGTATTTCAAACTGTATCAAATAACTGTTCGGAGCATAATGATCTTAGTTCCTGTTGCAGGAACAGTGCAAAGACTACCATTTCCTACACCTTCATGTGAGTGTGGGATATGGTAGATGGGTTTGGAAGGTGTTCAGAGCCTTTGAGAATTATTGTTTCCAAGTAGCCAAGACTTAATCTGCAATTCTGTAAAGACCATGAACCTTCATAAATTCAGATTTAACCTTAAGGAAATTTTTTTGTTCATGTTTTAGAATCTTAATTTTGTAGTGTAATAACTGATGAGATCAAAATGAGTTTCCTCTTGTTCTGAGGTTTTGCACTTTTGGTAATCAGTTCTTAATTGATAGTAGTATCCAAGATCCACAAAATAGCTGAACATCAGTTGAGCAGAACACATTAAAAAGTTTAAGACAGTTTTATATGACTTAAGACACAAAAACATAATTTAAGCATAATAGTTACACATCACATTCCAGGCAATCTGATCCAAAAATCTAAATATTTTGCTTAGATCATATGGCCACAAATGTGTAAATTAACTATTTTGATTTTCATTTTTTATTAAACCAGAAATACAGTTACCAGAAGTAAGTGAACTAGGTAGTAAAAATTACTGAAGAAATCTGTACCTGAAATACATGACCTGTAGCTTTAAGCTTTGGTTTTTCAGTTTCTTCATTCAGTGAAATTGAAGAAACTGTTTCATCAATATCGCATTTGGCACGAGACTTGGCAAAATCTTCATAAAGCTGAACCTGTAGACCAGGCCCCAGACAACAGAATGAGTATGTTTTCCCCAACAGAAGTAAGATTGAACAGTTGTTTTTAGAATTTAGTTCTGAGTTACCATAAATCAAGAAAGCTATTTTATATGTAGCCCAAGATCAACATTAACAGTGGAATCTCTTGCAATTTATTTTCTTTCAGCTCGGAAAGTATTCTTTAAAAAAATCTGCAGATGCCTAGATGTTCTTGTAGAACGATGCCAGAAATTAAGCTAAAGAAATACTCTATTGCAACTGGACTGTAAGTAGTTTTTAAACATATTAGAAAAACTTTTTCGTCCTGTGATCCCAGAGAACATCAGAACTGACATCAGATTGACCCAGGAATACAGAAGTGGTTCCTTTGTGGTCTTAACTGTGCTGAAAAAACTAAGCTTCCAGCCACTTTTTAAGCATACCTGTAGAGGACTGAGAATACAGTAATAATCTTGAATAATTTTGGGCGGAAGATCTTGCAGTACATCCTCCTTCATTCTCCTTAGCAAAAAAAAAATGGCAGAACTTGGCGGTGCAGGGCTTCCATTGCAAGAACCCCTAGTGAAGGCAACAGAAATAGTTTTGGTTTTGGTTTTTTGGGGTTTGTTTGTTGGTTTTTTTTTGGGGGGGGGGGAGGGGCGGATTTTCAAAACATTCAGCCCCCCCAGTCTCTCATGTTGGAACTGACCGCACTTTCTCTTTTCATTAGCAGTTTTCATTTAAAGGAAAAAAAAAAAAAAACAAGATTAAACATTTGCTCCTTACCAGCCTCTTGTTCTCGACTGGAGCTTCGGGCATCTCTACTTGCCAGTATTGGTTTGCCATAACGAGCTGCAAATTGGCGTTCAGTACCCAAAAATCCTGGCATAAGGAAGTCAAACAACGACCACAACTCTAAGACGTTGTTCTGAAGAGAAACATTTGTTAAATTATTTTCAAAAGTAGTGAATTGTTACAAGTTACCAGAAACACTTCCATAACACTTAACATTTAACACTGCCTATAAAACCCTACAAACATACCACTTCAACATACTTTTGAGCTCCTGGAACTTGGTGGCTCTTTCATCAATCTAAGTTACAGGAAGACCTGTACATGCAATTTAACGTATAAACAGAACCCTTGGGTTCTCCAAGGTTTTCGAGTACTGATTTCATTGATGCTTTCCCAGAAGAGGTAGAGGTATCTGCTTTTTCAGTTTTTCCATCCTTCACAAAAGAAAAAAACCCTTGGTTCTTCTGGACAACAAAACCCAGGAGACGCCAGTGGCCTTAGTCCTGGATGAGACAGATACTCCACAGACAAGTCATTTTGGACAAAGCCCAAAATCTGGAGTTCTCAGAGTCGAGTTTCTTGCTAATTTCACTAGAGGCGTAAGGAAATGCTCTCCCTCCTTCCCTGCCTGCTACTTAAAGAACAAGTGGTAGAGAAAGTCTTGTTGCCAACTTTTGAGGCCCATTAGTACCGTGGATCCTGCACCCATTCCCCTATACATGGGTATACTGGGAAAGGAAAAAGATGTAGTTTCAAGCATTTAGCAATGAAAGGCTTTTTTACAATGTATACTTTGAACAAAACAACTCTGATAAAAAGCACAATAAAATGGACTGCAAACTAGATCCCTTTTGCTTGCTTTCTACTACTCACTCAACTCCTTAGGAAAAAAGAAAAGCAGTTACCTGGATTGGTGTCCCAGAAAGAATTATCCTGTAATTGGCAGTCAGCTGTTTTACTGCTTTTGACAGCTTTGTTTTTCCATTTTTTATTACATGGCCTTCATCAAGAATGCAGTAATTAAACTTAATATTTCTAGAATAAAAGAACATAGACTTAAGTAGCATTTAAAATTCTAAGCTATTAAAAACCTCAGAAAACAAACCAATTCTTACCTGAAGAAGTCAATGTCATTTCTCACAACATCATATGAAGCCACTATGAGATTGTGTCTTTTCACCTGGTGTTGTAATCTTAAGGGAAAAAAAAAAAGAGAAGATAACTGAAGTGTTCCTTACATAGGTTATTATTTCAGCCTTTAAAGGCACCATCACAAGTTTTACCATGCTCACAAACTATCCTTCAGTAGTAAAGTGAATTGTAAAATTCTGTGTGTAGTATTTTACTCTACCCAAGTCATAAATGCAAAGTACATTACCTTGCTCTCTCAGTAGGAGGTCCTGTATAGTGCAAAGGATTAAGATACTCTTTTGAGCAAAATTTGCCCACTTCATCCACCCAGTGTCCTGTGAGTGTTGGAGGGCACACCACCAAGGAGGGAAGAGGAACACTGTCCACCAGTTTTGTTCTTGCATATTCCTGAGCCCTTTAAGAATATCAAAACAAGTTTGAAAAAATCGTTTTTCACAGAATAGCTGAGGTTGGAAGGGACCTCTAGAGGTCATCTGGTCCAACCTCGCTGCTCAAGCAGAGCCACCCAGAGCCAGTTGCCCAGGACTATGTCCAGAGTCATTACCATAGATAAAATCTATCATTAAAGTCTTTAAGATAGAATGTTATTTGTTTAAGCTTACCTGAGGCAATGATCACCTGCAAGAATGCAAATGGATTGTAAAGTTTTTCCTAAGCCCATGTCATCACAAAGAATTCCATGAAGTTTGTATTTATTGAGAAATGCCAGCCAGTTCACTCCATCCTGAAATCAGAAAATAAAAAGAGTGCCTCAAAAGTAAAAAGTGGCTTTTGGCTAGTTAAGTTTCAGTTCAAACATCTGTATGTTCTATCATCCATCACTGCCAAACTACGAGCTTGTTTCCCACCATAAATGCATCCACTACAGCCCATTCACTCAAAGCAGAGGGGAGTAAAGGGAGAAACATAAGCAGCCAAACAGTACAACGAGGCCTGGCTCTGCAGTGGTGAGCTGCCACAGTCAGCCTAAGCAAGGCACAGACCATTGGCCATTCCCTGAGAAAAATGACAGAATCCAGAGAGGCGGAAAAAATACCATTAAAAGAAAAACAGTATAAATGGCATGTATTACTTAATTTGTTCTTCCTTACCCAAGAGTCCAAGATACACACTGCGCAGCTAAAAACAAAACAAACAAAGAAAACAACCCACAAAACCCAGCACCCTAAAAACTCCTACTCTTCCATAAAATCGTATTAGACTAGAACTTACTACTCTTTTAAAATAAAAGCATATGCTGTTACCTGCTGGTATTTTCTGAGCTCTGCTTTGATTGGTACTGGAATTTTATAGTTTTCCAGTTTTTTTCCATCCAATAATTGTTCCAGAAAGTGACGTTCTTTAGCTTTCATTCGGATTAATTCTTCAGACATGTTTGGTGGATCTGGTATACCAGCCTAGGATAATATTTTTAAAGCAGTAATGTAAGGGCTACAGTACTTAATTCTCACACAGACAATAAGAAAACCTCATACTTGCTTAGACGTTTTAAACAAACAGATGGCAAAGATCTGCAATCTTCTCAATTGTATAAATCCAAACGTAGTGCTATACTTGTTTGATTCCTTGCAGATCAACTCATCCAGGATTGTAGGGTGCAAAAGACAAATTCTGTCCCAAAGGGCACACTGAAAGGCTTGGTACAATCGCATAAAAGAGGGGAAATCCTGGTCATGCTTGAAAGATTTTACAAAGACTGAGCTATTCTACCTCTAATCAGAGAGTTTATCTGGCTGGCTAGAGAACCCTTTGACGTCCACTTCTCCTTAGCCACAATCTACCATCCAAAGTTAGATGGACTTTTCTCCTACAGATGTTAGGAGAACTAGATCTAAAGTGATACTGAAATCCATAGGTTGAATTGAAGCAGTTGGAAACTATGGGGAAAAAGAAAAACCTGAATGCCTCCAGGTTTGTAGCAGCAGACCTTGGCTTCCTAGGTACTTCCCATACCAGGCCAGAAGCCCAAAGAAGCTACATCTGGGGACCAAATATGCTCAGACATTCTTGCTTGCTAATAATATACAGTAGCAAAAGAGGCACTGATATTTTCCATCATCACGTCTGTCATCCCAGTTTTCTGGGCCATCTTTAGTTAGTTTCACTTCAAAACCTAAGTTACTAATCACTTAGAGAGGGCTCCTGGCTGAGAAGAAAAACTCTATCAAATAATTCCACCGTGTATGTGGTGAATAAGGAAGGGGGAAAACTAACCCAGATTTCAGATGTTAGAAGTGCTCCAAGAAGGTATTTAAGTACATACACACAGACAACAGCCTACTTGTTCAACTGCTCTTCCTACCCTCCCTTTTACAAGAGGGTCTGAAGTGTCAATACCATGCCAGTTAATTTGGTTCAAGTATATTGTCAACTTGCAGCATGATTGCTTATCAATAAAACAGCACAGATTAAGTTGAACCATTCATCTTACAATCCTTCTCTCAGTCATATTTTCATTTTTATGGTTGAATGAATAATGAAATTGAGAACAAAGATGCAGGAAACTGAGCACAGCTAGGTTCTCCCAACTCATTTATTGCTTTTGTTTCCAGTTCTTCACAATTGGAAACCAACACAAAAATACAGATTAGAAACTCCAAGCTTATTCAGACCTCTATTGCTTTTACTTACCCAGCAGCTGAATTCAGCTGCATTTTAGGCAGTATATAAAATGCCAGCAATAAACACAAAAGACTAGATAGACTCTGTTTTGTTACAGAGCTATACGTCATGCTTCAGGAACATGAAATTGAAAGAGTGGAAAGGTTTTTTTTGTTTTAGTAATACCACTATAACTACTGAAAACTATAGGAGTTTGTCTTATGAAATATCTGCAAGACTACCCTAAAAAGTCTTCCCATTTAAAAAAGTAAAACTGTATCCATAAAACACCACTCTAAGTTTTTTCACACAAAGCATGTGTGAAACTTTGTTTATGAAAACTTGACAATAAAATTATTTCAATCTCAAAAAAGGATTTCTTAATAAAGCATTTCCCCATAAAACATCTATTTCCCTAGTCCCTATCAATCTACCCCCTCCTCTTTCCACTGAGATGACTCAAACCCCTCTAAATTTCTCAATTTAAATTCCTTGTTTGGCCTAACATTTTAAATTGCTAGCATTCAAAAGACTGCCCCACAACAATACTGGTATTTTTTTCTCTCATTATTAATCTACTTCACTCTAAATTTGCATATTTCTAAGTTTGCATATTTAATATAGTTCAATATCTGATACTGAACTTCCTTAACAGGAAAGGGAAATCTTACGGGACTTCTTGACTAACTATGGAAAAGAAACATGAACTGATTATGCATATATAGACAATTAATAAAACAAGTATTCTATGTTTTCAAGAGATGCTCACTAAACTCTATTAAAATAGCTTGGGGAGGGGAACTAAGCTACATGTATTCCATAGGATTGTATTTAGATGCATATGAAGGGCACAGGTGCAAATGGCATTGGAATGAACAGCAGCAAGCCAGAAATTAATTGCTACTTCGCTCACTTTCAACTTCTTCAACATTTCAGTGTAAGCATACAGAAGGAAAGTCCTCCATATAAGGCAGATGGTTAGTTACCAGATTCTAAAGTTCTATTATGCTAAATTAAAAGTTGAGATAATAAAAGATACTAAACCCATTAAACTGACTTTTTTTTCATTAGAAACATGCAAATGAGTTCTGAACTGCCTTCTATTACCATCTGGTGGTGAAAATAAGTTACTTAGAAGCCTTGTAGTCCTTGAAGTGGAGTATTAGAAAGTGTCTGAGGTATGCAAGTTATAGGAGGAGTGAAAAACTGAAGCAAATCTGTACTGGTTAAACACTACTGGATCATAATACACATAATACTTTGCCCAAACCTGTAAGGTGGGCCTTTTTGATTTTAAGAGCTAGGAATAAGTAACTGTAATTATCTCCACACTATTTCTATTACTGTTATTTAATTTTTTCCTTTTAAATCAGTATTTCTTTTTTTATGCATTCCTCTTTTTTGTGCATCATGATCTCTGTTAATCACATATACAACACCACACATACCTTGGAAGAGCGCCTAACTCCCAAAACTTCCGAGCCAAAACTAGCAAAAGCAGCATTACACGCAAAAATTAATGAATATTCACTTTAGCTTCATGTACGCAGTTGAAACGAGTTTCTTATAAAAAGAAATTTTACTTTAACATTAATTTAGAAAATTACTAACAGAGGGTCCAATTTTACTCATTTTACGTTATAAAGGACACATCTTCAATTATCTGATAGGGACTCAACATCTACAAAACCAGCTACTTAATCAGCATTTAATAAGCCAGAAGCTTGGACTTTGTGGCTGGTGAAAAAGTGGATACAGGGCAGTTCACGTACTCAGTATACTTACAACTTGAGCTTACCTCAAGAGGCATTAGTCTAATTAGTGTTGCAAAGCACTGTGTAGCCATAAAACGTACACTGTCTGTCTGATCACTCATTCTACCCAGAACTGGAACCACTAGAAGAACAATGTATGGAACAATACCAACATCCAGCTGCTCCATTACACCTGGATCAGTTATTAAGGAAACAGTTTTTACGAGTTCAGGATTGTCTGACATCAATATATACCTAGCAGGTTTCACACTCAATAGGTAAAAGTCATTAATACGTTACCTTCAGATGAACAAGATTTCTACTAACAAAGCAATGGTGGGGAAAGGAGAGGAAAAAAAAAAAGGAGAAAAAAGTCTGATCTACCCAGTTACATTTAGCCCAGTGAATTCCATGGTTTGAGAAACTGAATTACCTCCACCAAAACTTCATTTGATAGATAAAATAAAGGCAATGGAAATGAAAGTTTCTCCTATTTCTTGTCTACAGGAGGAAAATAGCTTATTTTATTTCATTCCTCCTCCCATTTTTTTCAGGCAACAGTTTTTGTTCCCCCAAATTACACAACTGCAAAGAAGTTTCTGCGTTTTTGAATACTCAAGCAAGGATACATGCAAGTGCTTCAATTGCACCTTCTTGTTTGGTGTTGTCATCTATTGCCCCCAACCACGGTAGAACTTTCTCTAGAAAGATATTCATTGTTTCCATGGTAGCTATTTTGCTCATAACACCTACACAACGAGCAGCCATGTGTCTCACTGCAGTGCTGGGATGTTGAAGGCACATATAAAGATGAGGCAAATGCTGTATTAACTGAACAGAAGAAGAGGGTGGGGGAAAAAAAAGGTTAATATGAATTATAAGCAAATTACTGAATTTTGAAGTAAACAGTCTTTTTAAGTCACTCTTGCCTCCCAAAGAATACTTGAAATGGCTCCTTAACAAGATCTAGATGTTTAGAACAGAAAAATTGTTTCAGAAGAAAAAGACAATTCAACTTTGAACAAGTACTACTCCCCAATACAGTTAAAATTCAGAGAGTAACAAAATGTTTAGGGTTTTAGTCAAAATGCAAATTAAAAAGAGGCCCTTGTTAATTAAGGATGTGTTTCACACTGGAAAAATACAGTACTAAGTACTCAGAACTTTTTATAAAAAAAAAGAATTATTGCTTAAATACAGGTACATAGATTAAAGAATTCCTTCCAGCTAGCAAATTTGTCCTAGACTCATTTATGTTTAGGCAGACAAATTATCCATGTTGCGAGTCTTACTAGCTCTGTGTGACAAGACAGACACCCAGAAGGAAATTCACATCTTCCCAAGCGGGTATGTGTGTACATACATGTCTTTTTTTCATCAGCACAAATACGTTTTTGTCAGGTATCTTAAATGGATGGTCAGGTTTTTCCTAGTGTGGAAGTCCCTAAGTATTAGCTTTGATGAACCAATTCCACCCTCCTCGACTTTGTGATTTTTTTTTTTTCCTCTGAAACCTGTATACAGTATTAACACCTCCAAAATTAACTACATACCATATATATACAAAAAATACATGTATATATAAAAAAATCTTTCCATGTCATATGCTAAATTCACTCAAAATCACTTCAGTATTTTATTAAAATAGAGAAAATTCATATGGAACATATGGAATTATTTCTTATCTGCTCAGAATTCTACAGCCATTCCTTATGCTCATCCCTTCTCATCATATCCTTTCCAGATGAAGTTCTGGCCTACATATTCCTTGCATGGGAGCCTTTTCGTTCATTTTTATCATCCTGTCGCCCTTCTCTATGCCTCTTCCAGTGCTACTATATTTATTCTGAAATATAGTACTGCAGATAGGCTAGTACTAAAAACTGTATTCAGATGCAGGCATAATGGTGACTTTCTTGTTCTGTTTCTTTCTTAACTTTCTATTGTTTTTTTAACCAGTATTTTACATTCAGCTGATACTTTCACAGAACTATCCTAACTCCAGGATCTCTCTCCTGAGTAGAAATAGTCAGTTCAGAGCCTACTACTGCATGTAAGATGTCAAGTCTTTTACATTGAGTGGTGGGTAAAAAGAAATCATTTAAAAAATTAATCAAATCCAGTCTACTTGGGGGTAACTGAAGTCTACCATAGTTTTTTGATCCCCTGCACAGGGAGCCTGTCTGTTCTCCATGTTTAGGAAATCTGGAATTGGAATAAAGCAGAGTTGAGATGCTGATTTCAATGTTACACAATAGCATAAATATTATCATAACTCAAACTTTGGACACAATCTTGTTTGGGCATCTCATCCAGAAAAGGGTAGGCCAAGTCTAAATTGTAGTTAGGTGTTTGCTTTTGAGGTTTATTCTACAACCTGCATTTAAAAAATACAGAATTTAACATCTTATAGGACACAGGGAAAAAAATAGCTTTGAAGTGTAACAGCTTAACTGCTGAAGATAGAAGAAGTAGAAGGCTATGTCTTCAGTTTATCAAGACTAGGATACAGGACTTGGAGAACAGGCAAGCTAGAAAGTGCAATAAAAACACCATTTGAGCAAAATTAGAAAAACATCTAAAAAGCCTTACAAAACAAAGATTTAAAACAATGGCAATGAACAGACTTCATTACTTCATACAAAAGCTGCTTTGGAATATAATTACCAGAGGATGTAGCTGAGTATCCATTGAAGCTGCTGTTGTTTCAAAAACCTGTAAAGAGTTTACTAGCTCCTGGGCAGGAGCATCTCCTTTTTCCAGTAAGGACTTTCGATCTGTTAAAACCAGAAAAGGTATTCAGTTTAAGACTGACATACTGCACCCAGCCTACCAGCCCCCCCAGCTTAAATCAGAGGTATAATTACCAAAATTATTTATGTGAATGTTGTTCCTTAATGAACCAACCATAGCATCCCAGAGATGTGGCAATCCCGTTGCCATTTCAGCACCAAAATGTTTAGCTATAGTAGATAAGGCAAATTCAGCTCCTCTTCTCTGTACAACATAAGGTTTCTGAGCCTAGAATTAAACAATTTAACAAAGTAGTGAGGACAGATACATTTAAGAATAACAATTATTTTCAAGGAGGCTCCCATTGTTAAATAGACATTCAATTCTGACTGTGTTTATAGCTACCTACAACACATCTGTTGGTTGATTTTCTTTGTAAGTTATTTATTTTTTTATACAGGTAAAAAATGAAAATCTTTTATAGCAGATTACTTAAATCCTGTAAGTTTGGGGATTTTGTTGACACAGGCCCATTTCAGCAAGAGGTTTTCTAACTCGTTGCAGTTCCAGAACCTCAGATATTGCCACTATAGGGCACACCAAGAACAGTAGCATGCTAGCAAAACTTCCCAAACGCAATACTTGATTTGTTATTAAGCCCTTTCTCTTGCTCCCACCCTCTTCAGAAAGTGGAATTGATAAAAATCACTTTAACAATTAAGAACGAAATCCACAACACTGTTTACGAGTCACAGTCCTGACTTGGATCTTATTAAAACGCACTGAAGTTTTATATGAATAAAATACTAACAAAAATTTTAGCATATCAAGTGTGGAAGTCACTGTACATCGTAAAGCCAGTCATATTTCAAAAACTGTTCTTAATGCTTCACAGCTTCCATTGTGCATCAAGATGACCAACACTAAACATGGGTAACAGGACACAATCATAGCACAGTTTGTGGAAATCCATTTGTGTGGATTTTTATTGAGATATTCATATCCTGTACTAAATGTAAAATATTTCAGGAATATTAATTTTCTTAATGACACACTGAAGATTTTAAACATCATCATCATCAACTAACATGCTGCTTGCATCACAAAATTTTATGTCAACTCAGCTCTCTCATGAAAAGATCCTGGACATCCCTATTATAATGCTATCAACTCCAGTGAATTCAAACTAATGGAAGGAAGAGGTGGATGTGCAAGTTGCAAATGCAAGTTTTTGAAATTTACCTCATCAAGTTCTGTAGGAATGCTTCCACTGCTGCCAGTGGGGAGATCTGCAATTGGGGCTTTTGGAGCTTTTGGAGTAGGACCTCGCCGACTTGTGATGGCAAAAGCAGCTTTCTGATGTCTGTACAGTGTAATTATTCCCCTGTGCTTAGTAACTGTATGATGCATCCCATCTTTATCAGAGTTGGGCCCTAAAGGAAAAGAGAGAATAGCTGACAACAATTTAAGCTGTGGTTTAAAACACAGGTGGAAGTGATAGCTACCTGCAAGTCATCTGCAGATCTCAATGTGCTTTAAAAAAAAGTAAGTGTCATCGTCCTCAAGGACGGAAAAAATTAAAGTGCAAAGTAGAATTACTCTGTTAAGAGCACATTACAGACTTGGCAAGAAAATCTAAGTGTGCAAACTGCCACATAAATTCTTATTCAGCAAGAAATACAGGTAACAAAACTTCAGTCAAATATAAAAAGTTTGCACAAGTTTTTTTATATAAAACAACACATTATGCTCTAAAGTTTAAATAAACTTATGTTCTGTGTCCTTTACAAACAGTTCAAGACTTCTATCATGATACAATAGCAGATGCCATCAGTATCTTTGGATTTATTCATGTTTCTGTTTATGCTAATCAGCTTAATTTTCAGTCAGATAAGAATATTGTTCTACTCTGAGACGAAGGAGGACACATTCATTAAGAAAAAGTAAAATGTATAATGGTCAAACCTTAAAGCAAGTTAGAATCTTTGAGAGTATTAAGGTCTTAATTTGTGTTGTTCATTCAATCCATGCATTTTTAGCAAAGGACAGTCATTTAAAGAAAATCCATGACCATAGCGTGCACAGGATTATTTGTTCATTTCAAACACTGTCCTCATCTTTTGTTATCTTACTATTAGCCTATGGAACGTAACACAAGTCAGACTTTTTTCTAACAGGCTACTCTAATTTCCATACTGATTCAATTTCAATGAAAAGCTTCGTAACACATGTAAATAAAAGGTGATCATGGATAGTAATTGAACAACAGTAAATAACTGAAAACTGGAACACAGGTCTTTTATACGTAAAGTTCTGAAAACTATACACATCATTAGTTGCACAGTGTGTAGTTTAAGATACCTAAATGAAATTATTACTAATAAAGACTCAGTTGCTGACATTTTAAAAACACTGAAAAGACGACTCACTCAAATACTCATTTTAACAGTTCAGAGACAAGCAGACATATTTTAAGAATCCTGGCAGTCTTAGATATCATACCTTTTGAGTTTTCATGGCTACTCTGAGGCTGTGCAGGACATGCTGCTAGTGGGGTAAGATGTGGATCCACACAGAGGGAGTTGCAGAGATTTTTTATAATCTTTGAGTTGGGACAAGGAGATCTTGTTGTACACTGCTGAAGTAACTTCGCTATACATGAAGCCACATAGTTTTGTACAAGTGTATTCTCCTCTTTTTTGATAGCTTCCATTAAGGGTTTTATAACAGGATTTAGTTTTTCTGGGAGTTGCTGCAAGTTCACAACTGCACATGCAGCAAAAGTATGGACTCGCAGATGCAACACTTGCCATTCTTGATTTGTTTCTGTAACAGTCATTTGGACTTGTTGTCGTTTACTGTCCAACTGTTGTAGAACTTTAGGATTCAAAGTAAAGGATGATGTCACTTCAGTGAAAACAGAAGTAACCTAATAAAAAGGAAGAAGGAGTTACAAATGCGTTTCCTTTACTGTAAAATGGGATATCCTCTGAAAACTGCAGTTTTCATGGCAGAACACAAGTCACTTCACCAGGTTATCATCTCCATTTTCCCAGCAAATAGCAGGAAATGCTCCAAAATATCGCTTCTGGAATCTTGAACTGCAGCTCAAGGGGAAAATCAGGCATATTATGAACATTTCAAGTCTAGATTCCCAAAGCTAAAAGAGGAGTTTACGTACTCCTCCAAATTTAGATTGTCCTATATCTGCCAGATATATCCAGATATTCTGGCAATATGTAAGCACATGACAGATAAGCAAAGGAGAATATGCTATGAATACAAGAGGCCCGAAAGGATGTGCAAGGTCCTGTGCATAAAGTTGTTTCTAAGCTGATTTTCATTTGAGGAAAGAGACCGGGATAAAAATCTAAGAAGTCAGCACAACACCCACAATTAGCTGGCTACTGTTGCTTAAATCTTTCACAGGAAAGAGATTAAAAGCAATGTGGAATCATGGAAATGCTGAACTTATTCTACTGATAGGATAGTTAAGGCTCCTAAGTACAGGAAAGATGACAGCTGTTGAGAGGGTTAGTCTGGGGGCAGGGTGTGTGTGTGTGTGTGTTGGTTTTTGCCTTTTACTTTTATATGTTCAGGTCAAGTCTTTCAACTATCAGACTCGTACTGCTTCATTCTATAGATACCTCAAGTTCTACTCCACATGACCCTCATGATTGGAATGACCAAAGGATGCAAAAAATATCCCTAGCAAGGAGGAGCACAGGGTTTTTACATCTAATGCATGAAGACCCATACTACAATGCAGTGTAGGTTTGGTGTCTGCATTTCCAGAAAACTTGAAGAGTTGAAAAGGGAGCAGAACACAGCCACAGAAAATAGCAAATAGTTATGGAATGAGTCTTCTAATCCAGAATGGATATCTTTTGAAAAAACACGCATTGGTCAAGCAGCCCTATTACTAGACTCAAGAATAAACAGTTGAGGTATATGAAAACACCTGTACTTCACAGACCATGAGCTCACATGATTCTGTCTGGCCTTACCTTGGAAATTCATTCATTTTAGATGGTAGCCATAATCACACCGGCTGCCAAAATTCCCTCAGCCCATATACACAATTATCTATAACTTTAAAGATATGTTGAAATTTCCAAGTTAAGCTACTGCATATTACTACATAAATACTACCATCTGAGAATTTCAAGATCCATCATGCTACAGTCATCATGGCCATTATCGTACAAACATAAACCTTCTCTTACTCTTACCCTTATCCTCAGCATCCCAGTTGCATACACAAACACATCCAGGATCCTAATCCCCCTCCTCCTCTGCCCCAAGCTGCATCACATCCACCACCATTCCTTCATCCCCCCCAGACGTATACACCCCTCCCACCCGAGTCCCCTTTTATTTTGCAGGCTCTCAAATCCACAAGCTTTTAATTTACATCCTACCTCGTCTGTCCATACTCATCTTTCTCTCTGCTTAAGAAGCCAGTTTGGGGTTGGAAGAAAAACCTTTTAATTTTTTGCCCCAATAATATCAGCTCTATTTTTGCTTATAGAGCTTTTCCTGTCAAGAGCAAACTTTTATTATCACATCTAACTCTGATGTTTTCAGATTAAAAAAGACAAAACAATTGAACTGCCAGGAAAAAAACACTTTAACACACATGGCTGGGGGGTCAGAGGGGAGTTGTTCTAGAATTTATGCAGTTTATTTACTAGTGTTTTGACAGTGGTTTTGAAGGAGTTCCAGCCTGCTTTGTTTTCTTCTGTGTAGATTTCAATAGTGAATCTACACCTGGAATCAGAACACTGATTTCCGCTAAGTATCTACCTTGCATTCTACTCCATTTTTGGCATAGTCTGTAAACACCGCAGGGGAAGTCGTAAGTATCTATTACATATCTCATGTCAAAGGATGTGTAAAGTCACATTATTTCTGAAAGTTACTGTCTGTGTAATAATTATGCTGAAGATATATTTCAAGACAGGAATAGATTTGAAGGAAGGGCAGGCATGCCTCTACTTACCAGCTCATTAGCTTGATCTATTGTAAATACACTGCAGTTTACTCTGTTTCCAATGTCAATGTGTGCGTCAGCTAACAATGAGATGAGTTGTTTACATTCATTCTGCATTCGTGTAAAAGGAACAGCAATTTCATCATAATAGAGATGTTCAGAAAGGACGCCAAGTAAACGAGGTTGCACACAAATGGCCACAGTTCTACACTCCTGTAACAGGAAAAGGCATATTTTGTATTTCTGAGTAATCACAATTTCTTTTGTTTGGTTTTGGGCACTAAATAGCACAATCTAGCTACAAAAAAATCCAGCTTCCAGAGGGACCATTAACATTTGTAACCCAGAATATTAAAGATTATAAGCCAATCTTCAGTCTGCCACTAGAACAGAAGTGATAGTGAATACAGGGAAGACAGTCATGTTAAAAGGAAAGCATTGACCCTAAATAACATGCATCTTGAGAATAACTTATTTGTAGAAGATATGTGAACGTATTTACAGATTCATAGTTCTGACAGTTGGCTTTTATCTATCTAGTAATGTATTCCTCCATTGTCTAACAATCAAGAATTTAGTATTTAGATGTATAAACACCATTTTAGCTTATCAACTGAAATTTTATTTCAAGCTAAGTAGCAGATTACAAGCTGTGGATTAAGATAGCAAGTAAAATTTATTTTTGCTGCAGAAACATCCTACCTTTTGCAAGGCTGCCCACTCACAGATTACTAATGCAACACTAATCCTCTGCAAGGCAGATTTAGAATTCAAGTGGAAGAGCAGTAGCTGAGCTAATGATTCAGCTGGCTTTATTTCTTGAGTAACAGTATTTACACCTGGGTCACAAATGCAGCAACAAAGTGCTCCCAGCAACCTAACAAAAGGAGAAAGAACAGTCACTTCAGTGTTACAATTACTCTGCAATTAATTATTCAAAATGAAGATGCCAAAGAAGTCTACATAATTAGATTTTGGCAAAAACACTATATAACGAAAAAGATAAATTGCTTTTAAATATTTTTTCAGATTTCCAGTAAACTGACTTTGCTGCCATCATCCGAGCTCGCATGACAACATAATCCCTGGTTGCTGGATCTTCTGCAATGCTGTCTGCCCCAGCAATATATTCCTGAATCACTTCCTTATTCTGGGTTTGACCTTGACGCAGTTTAGCGCCTGCCTTTTCCTATGGAATAAAGTTGGGAGAGGTTGAAAGTAAATGTGTTTGTAATAGAAAAGATGAATTCATATTCCATAACATTTCCAATAACCATCATACCCTGCAAAAGTTGGACTAAGCCAGAATGTTTCTTGCATAACAGACTTCTTAAAGTAGTTCATCATTGTAAATCACATCTCCACTAATAGTATTCTATGGTCCTACTAAATGTATTATATGATTCCTTCACTATAATATTAAAACTAATACTCAACATATAGCTGATAAACTGAGTCCACACAGAGCAAAAAGGAAACGTCTTTCAGCATGTTTTCAGAAATAACACAACGCTTTTAGACTTAACTCAGTCCTGCAAACAGATGGTTTTGGAACCATAATGGTTATGGAACCATGTAAATAAATTCACAGGGAGCATGCTACATGACAGAACTTTGAATTCTCATGGATAACCTGACAAGAACTATTTTGCTCTACAGACTTGAGGTTTGTAAGATAGGTTACATTGAGAGTTGTAGAAAGGCACCACCACTCCCCTCTAACACCTTTAGAACATGTCTTTACATACAGCTAATCAATTTCCTACTTTCCCCAGAACAGTTAGTGAGGTCACATTTCACTTACTTTTGATCTGGTTTTGACTTCTAGCAACATGTTTAAGTCAATGGGCAAATGAGATGGCTGCATCATTAAGCAGAGCCAGGCTCCCATCCATGGACAAGCAGCTGCAACCACATATTGTACAGATGCCTTGTTTAACAGTTCCAGCCATACCTTGGGAAAGAACCATAGTGGAAATCATGACAAATTTGTATGTGGCCTAGGTAAGGTCATATATATGCTGATAAACTGTAAGAACCATCCTATTCTCCTTCACTCTATAGTAAAGCATCAAATAGGCTAACTACAAAATAATTAACATGAATACACTATTCTTTATCTGCACAAAAGCGCAGAGGATACGAAAGAGCAGAATACACAAACACTACATATCTAGGTCATGAGTCATGCAAATACCTTGTGAATAAGATCCAGAATTTCTTGGTTGCTTTCTAAGATACAAAATTGAAATATGTGCCTCAACATGTCTTGCAGAATTGGTGTCAGCCATGTTGAAGAGCTCTGAAACAAGGATATCATATGATCAAGCAGAGTCCAACATATATCATAGTAAAACACTAATAACACTAATTCTTACCTGGTCTTGGGTAGACAGCAGTGTGAATAATGTTTCCAGTGCTGCTTTTCGCACAGAAGATATAGTATGATGCAAGAACGGCCACACACGTGGGACCAAAACCGTGAGTGATTGCTGAATACTAGTACATGAAGGGGAGATGTAGAGGCAATGACAGGGAAAAAAAACAAACACACAGAGGCAAATTAATTTTCTTTATCCTCAGTTACAAAGTTTTATCCAAAAGAAAGCTTTTTAAAAAAGAAAAGTATTATTGCATATGCTGGGTGATTTTAAGTAAAGGATCAAGTTACTACAGCTTAAACATTTAAAATAGTTTGAATCAGTATCTTTTTTCAGGAAAATACTGTTTTTTCTTACTGGTATAAAGAACTAGTCGATTCAAGCATGTATTTTTACTGTATTGTTTTCCAAGATTATACTTTGGGCTTTGTTCAACTATTTAGAAAAAAGTTTTTTTTTGTTTTGAATTTATTATTAGGGATTTATGAGTTTAGAAATAATTAAAAACAAGCTTGAATCTTTTGTGCATGAACTTGCACATCAACTGATGCAAGTGGTACATGCTGAATCAAAGATGGCATTAGTGACAAAACTTCATTCTCAATTTTGGATTTGGGCTAAAACCAGCTTCAGCAGTGACAATCATACAGGATGAGAAAGATAAGACGTGTAAAGCATCTACCTTAAATGCAGATGCTGTGTGTTTACCATGTGTAGTATGTTAACATTTTTCATAATAACACGCAATTCCTTTAATTTGACAGAGTCCCAGACAGAGAGGAACTAGGCATTGTCTTCAACCAGTCACAGAATTACTGGTTTTATTATTGATGTGAATTTTCAAGTTTGTAGCTCTCTTTAGAACTGTTCCAATAGTAAACTTCTACAGGTACATGCATGTGTTTTAATGTACACAGTTTGCTCTCTTGTTTGGAGTTTGTTGACGAGGAGCAGACGAACAAGAAGTTTGTGTAAGGACCACCATATGAGGGGAGCCGCTATCCTTTACTAAAATACCCAAGATGAATGGCGGGGGAGGGGGGAAGGGGAAGGCACATATAAACAATGTTTAGTACCTTTTAATTATTTTGTTGCCTTTTACTAATATAATGAAAATAGAAGCACTGTCCTAACCTTCACTTAAGGAAAAGCAAAGTAAAATTAAAATACTAATTTAAATCAAGCATCTCCTTGGCACATGATTTGAAAGCAACTTTGATTATTCCAATTTGAAAAAATAACTGGACAGTCAAGCCCACAATACTGAAGCAGTACTAATTAAATAAAAAGTTACCTGCATTTGCGGACCTGAGGATAAGTCAGAAGGGAAGAAAGAAGGATCATGATACTGTTTGTGGAAGCTGTCAAGTCATCCAATTCCAGAAGTGCATCCCACAAGGTATTAAGAATAAAAGGCACCTACACAAATAAGAAGAGGTTATTATTAAAAAAAAAAAAAAGGAAAATCCAAGTGCTCCGTCTAAGAATTATTTTCTTCTCTCAGACCAAAAGTGAACTTTTCAATCAGAATTGATGGAAAACAATTCAGTCACCTTCTGAGACTGAAGTTGGACTAGGCTTTCCACTACTGGTACTAAAGATGCTGCAGCAACAGCTCGGACATCATCATCGAGATCTTGGAGACCTTCAATTATTGCAGGCAACACTTTAGGCAATAAAGTGTTGATCATGTCCTGCCAAAAAGATAAAAAGCATTTTTAAACTTAAAAAGCATATATGCCCCAAACAACTAAGATGTACTCTTAGTGTGTGAATAAACCTGTTTGTTATATAAAACAGAAGCTACAGGTCCAAGACTATAATCTAAATATTGTAAGTTACCATTCATGAAGTAAAACCTAGGTTATAAATCTGAATGAACTGTAACTCAGCTCAGTTTTGGTGTAAACAAAGCTCAGTGTAGCAGCATAATACCATGAAGAGACTAAACCTCTAAATGTAGCACTCAGTTCTCTTAACCTCACTCGTGAAACTATCATCAAAATCAGGCAAGCATAGCCCCTATTTACAATGTTTTGTGCAAGTAACTCATCGGGTTACAACAGTACAACTTTGCCGTATACTTGCAGATTTCCGCAGCCTGAATATAAAAATGCAGTCACACATCTTATAACCCACATGAGGCTGCAGTGCAAATGAGCTTGCTTTATCATACCTATCTACTGTTCAGTCACATCCTCAACTTTGAGCAGAGCTTTTTGTTCCAAAGCTCTCTGCGATTTGTCCTGAGGCTTATTACCTGACGTACTGCCAAAGCGTACTTTATTCCTAGGAGACCACCATGTCTCACTTCCCACTGTTCCTGTGTAAGCAGCTTCAGGAGAACATCCACAGTTTTATGAACTCCAGTCTCATTCATATGTTTCAATACTACTCCCAAAGTCTGAGCACAAGTCTCACGTACCGGTGCTACCACCTAGGATAAAGTAAATGATAAAATAGGTATTTCTGTATGAAATTTGATTCAGAAAAAAACCAATATGAGTAGAGTCAGATGACCAAAACGGCTATACAAACAAGGTGAAATTTATGTATCGGCTACTTTGTAATAAGCATCAGTGAGCAGTTACAACAGGCACATGCAGTAGCGCTGTAGAAAGCATAGCTGATCTGCTGCAATATTATCTCCTGCAGAAGCCTGCTGATCTACCTGTTCACTCAGAGACAACTTACTTCATCTGAAACAAAGTCTCCAAATCTGTCTAATGCAAACACACAAAGTAGTCTAATAACCAAGTCTTCTAGCCACTCCTGATGCTGCTGAATCATCTGTAAAAAGAGACAAATTGAACACCTTCACTATTTATTCATAGAGGATTTCTGATATGCTTGCTTTAGCTAAAATTTATATAAAAGGTATGACAACATATGTTTAAATTGACAGAATATAGTAATCTTGCACAGGCAGTCAAGGCAAAATAGTCAGCACTAATTCAGCTCATCTGGCTTATTAAAAACGATTTTTTTTTTTTAAACACATAGTACCTTTATCAAAAGGCTAGAGAGCACCTTGTAAGGTAGACAGATAATTTTATCCCTACACAGCACACATAGGGAAGGTCATTCAGATGATCTATATTGACTAATGTCAACACGTCCTAGGCAAATCAATTAATATGTGTTTGAAGAATATTTACAAATAAACATAAACTATGAAGCAGTACTTCACTGTGGGAGACCCAGTGTAAGGAACTCGCTCTTCAGCCATGTCTCCTCCAGATTTAACAAAGCAATTCAGACCAAGCTTGTCTTGAAGCTCTGGCCTCTGTTAGAGGCCCAATAGCTCTGTAACTCAATCTCAGAGCAGAAGCCCCATAAAAGCAACTGCTCAGGCATCATCTTTCTCATCTCCACTGTTTGCTTACAAGATCACCAATTCCCTTGAAAACTATCATTTTAATGAACAAAACTTTCATCATATTACAGATATTCCCACACATGTCAAAGAATTATAGCCTGCATATAGCATACACAGCAGCCCTTGAAGCTAGCCTGGAGTACACACAGTCTTTCCATAAATAGTTAAGAAACTGTTCAAAGTATCTTACCATTGCAGCATGTGTTATTATTACCCTGCAATCTCCATGGAACAAATACTACTCCACATGGAAGCAAGGAGAGATAGCAGCTTTTGCTTTCCCTATATACAAATTATGCTGAAGTAGCTTGATTTACATTTGATAGATGTATATCCTCATTCTTCAACACACTCTGAACCACAAGCTCTCCCAGCTGCTTTTACAGCAGGGAAGTCAGTATGAATCTGGATGAGGTTCACTATTAGTAAAAAAGTTATTACTGTCAAGATATTTTTTAAAAGTGTTGTCCTTTAAATAGACTATTTAAATACTTTTTCTCATAATAACAAAGCAAGCAGATCGATAGATTCCCCTTACTATTTAAGTGAATAGAATTAGATGGTCTGAGACACTTCACTGGAGTTACATAATGAAGTTGTCAATTCTGTTTCAGCACACCCTTACCATGACCTGAAAATAATATTTTCTAGTATGGAAGCTAGTGTTTAATAACTTTACACACAGCCTACATATTAATGGCTACTTATACAGTAGTATTTTTTGCACAGGCCTTTTAAAAAGAACGTAAGCATTTCATCAGTGCATACAGTGATTTCATCCAAATGATTTTGAGCAGACAAATTTCATGGTTTATATTCCTCCAGATCACCCACCTCCTGCAAAGCTTAAGTATTTTAAGAAGTCCATTTTCTAAACTTCATTTAAGTAACATGTTAAGTCTACATGATGGGAAACTTACCTCTTCTAAAGAGCTGTCTCCTATTTTACCACCGCTTTTACCATGAGCTTTAAGTATCTCTCTCAGTCCAGTACCTGCACCATGTCGAACCTAGAGAAGTGAAATAAAAAGTCAATTTTTAAATATTTAGGAACAGAAGATAAAAAGCACACTGGGTAACTGAAACACTACTACTTTATTCTTACTAGAGATGTTTCAAGTGCTGCAGAGTTAGTGGAACTTAGACTTGTGGGAAAGGGTAGTATTTTATTAGATCAAATCACACACTTAAATACTAATCTGTACAAAACCAACCTGTTTTTTCCTAAAGTATTTGCCAGCTTATGGACAGAAGCAATTAAGAATTGCTTCTATTTTCTAACACAGAAGATATTGTTATCATATTTGTAGTAATATAGCCAACAAAGACAGTTTTCATTTAGTTTTACCTCACTATGTTGTAAGACAGTTTTCAGAGAAGGAGCAACTAGAAGGTATTACTGGTTTTAGTACATTTATAAGCTAAAGAAAAGCAGTATTACTATATTTCGTAAACACTTTATATTTCTCTTTATATTATACATCATATTTGATTTTCTCTACAACTCTTCATGTTTCTTAAACAGAGTTTGGATCCCCACTGGATATTTTGGGGTCTGCAAAAGAAATTTCTGAGAAGAAATTTCTACATAGCTTACAAACCTGCCTTGCTTGGCTAAATATTAAAAAATAAGTGAACATGTGATATGGGAAAGGAAATTATAGCCACTTGTATGTTCCCACCAAACATGAATAGTTGAACACACTAGGAAGAGTTTTAGAAATGATAGAAGACCAGTAGAAAGATGTGCTACAGACACACCTGTTTCTGGTATTTTTGTTACATAACTAGACTCATAATTGGCTAATCAAGAAAAGCCCACTCAATAGATACAGAGAAAGTTGCAAAAGCAAAGTTTTGAACCGGGTTTTCATTGAGAGGCCTTTACATAGGTTAGAGCCGAACTTACTCTTTTTTTTTTTTTTTAAAGGGCACTTCATATACATGCTTGTTGCTAGCAAAAAATTATTGTATTTCATTTCACGATAGTCACAACTAGAACTGAGGAGCTGGTAGGTCCTCCCTTAATCGGAATACCTTAGATGAAACGCAAGCATACACATCCCCATATGTACAGCTCAGTGGCCGCTGGTAAAAGCTATAAGCAAGCCAATAAAAGCCAGCCAGAGAGCCTAGTCTTAAAATCCTAATTGTTCATAATACACCAATCATTTATGTGGTCCAAAATTGCTTATGAACTAGTTTTTACAAGCCAAAAGAGGAAGACTTTGCTAGTTAACTTCTCAGCTTCTGCCAACACAAAACAGCAAGACAGACAAATGTACAAAGGAAATACCAGTAGCAGGATTCATCTTGCCTGACTTCAGCTGCCTATAAGCTAGGCAAGCAGTCTGAACCAGTTATCCAGGCTGCCTCTAGACATTGCAAGAAGATGCCAGAGGGCCATTTTATAAACATATATTTTGAGGTAGTTTAACCTGTTTTTCATCCAGAACATACCGTAATAATGATTCTGTATTGATCTGCTTCCTTAATTAAGATGTGTGTGCCCTGTATCAAATGTACTAAGAAAGCTATGAGAATGTCTGCATTTCAGAAGACAAGTGGACTTTGGCTTCAACTACAAATAGCCTGCTTTCAAATAAGGTGAGGCTTATTAGCTCAGATACAGGGATGTGCCACACGAATATAATTATCCTTTTTCTGGGCCTAAAATAATTGTGCTGGCTGCAAAGGATCTATCTCTGTTTCCAAGTTTGAAGTCAGTATGGGCAGAGCCAACTTGCTATCACTGAAACTGTGCGACAGATATACCTAAGTATGTTATAGTCGGTGTTAACGTTTAATCTTTCAGAAGATCAACCTTTTTATTAAAAAACTGAAGTTAGTTGACAACAGTTATTTCCATCTTCTGCTCAAGGAAGAGAGACTATTGTCAGCTACTTCATATTTTTGCTTGGAACTGATATCAAAGTTTCGAAAATAGTGTAAGAATTGAATAAAAGGGTGAGCAGAACAGGTTTTGAATCTTGAAAATAAGTTGTCTAGGCAACCAAATAGATAGTTTTTGTAGTTGGTATTTACTATCATTCTAAAAAAGTTAATAGTTCCTTTTTATTAACAAAGAGAACAACTAATGATTTGTAGCCTACCCCCTGATACCAAAGGATTGATTCCCCCCCGCTTTTCTACTAGCTTAGCATTAGACAAACATGCCACTGTTGTCAGCAAGACTTGCACAATATTCCTCAAACTCTTGATGAATCCAAGCCTGTTTTAATTGCTTCATCTTTTTCACCATATATTCATGTGCTTTTGTTTTGCTTGAATTTCATTAGTTCCAGAATTCTCACTTATAATCACTACTTTCTGTATCTTTCCCACTCTCCACTTAAGTATACATTACACATCTGTTTTCATTTCCCCTTTAAATGAGTCTTAAAAAACACTTAAGTTCTCTAAAAGCAGATTTGTCTTCGCTATGTAATCTGTATTTACGATTGATGTAATTTTTGATATCTAGCAAAATGCTCAAGTCTTACGCATACAGTTTTGTGCTTCTATTGAAGCCTTTTTTTTAATCTATAGTTACACCTTATGTACTGCATGTATGTCTTACCTCCCAAGAAGGGTTAAAGAGATCATTGCACACCTCTTCACAAAAGCTTTCCAGAGGCCATTCATTTGCCTAAATTTATAAAAAATTATTAAGTACAAGATTAAAAGAGAAAGGGATCAGCAGAATGCTTCTTATATTGTATGCCATTTAGATATGTGAAGATAACAAAGACCTCCAAAAGCTCAAGTATTTTTCTTTGTTACTGGACAGAATTGGGGCGGGGGGGGGGTCTTCCACACTTCAGGAACTTTGCTGATTGGCACCGTATCTTTTAAAAAGCTTATGAAGTTTGTCTGTTAGTAGTGTAACCTCTTCTCTATGGTAATTAATTTTGATGTTCTGGAATTCAGCCTCCCTTTAGGAACCACGCTAAGGCAGAAAATTAAGGAAAGTTTCTTATCTTCCCCAGTGATTCTTTAAATTTATGAACTGTGCCTTTAAAGAACACAATAGGCAAGCCTCAGTTTGAACTTATACTACATAATCAAATTGGGTCAATTAATCCAGTAATAAACACCACCCTTGTCACAACACAGTCCACATTTTTGAAAACCAGAAGCAATATCCACTATCCCAAAACTTCCTCCAAGGAAACTGACATGGCTGTGGAAAGGAAATTATGACACTAACATTAGTAAGTTCACACCATCACAAACACAAAGCATTTGAAAGGCTAGCAAACTAGTAGCTATTCAGCCTGCAGTTACCATTAATCTCTCAAATTCATTTTTCAATCATTGTTTTGCAAATAAGAATTTCATTACTAAGCTATGTTTGGAAAAATATTCTTTTTGTAGAATAGAGTCTAATCAAGATAAAGTCTCTTCAAATAAACTTCTATATATCATTTGCATTCTAGTATAGCATTTCTCACAATTTTTCAGCTCTTCAGTCTATTGAAACAAATGCAAGTTTTTCTAAGACTAAGGTAATTATTTAAATCTTCAACTACTGAAGATAGAACTTAATTCTAAATTAAGCCTAATTAAAGTAAGGCAAAGATTAAATAAAGTGTACATGAACATTTAGATCAAATTATTGATGGCTCAGTGCAATCCTATCATCTAAGTGTTTAGCACAGTTTTACAGTTTAATACCCAGGTCTGACACCTGTAATCCACCTACTCAGGTTCATTTGGGTTACAAACTGCTGCCAATGGATTAAACGTGTTTTCTTCCTCAATGCTATACAGAGTTTGAAGCCCACTTGCTTCATTACATATAAAAGTAAGCTGGCAATGGCATTCTTTACTCCATTTCTCTTAATGCTAAAATTACTAAAGAATTTAGGAGTAATAAAGGAGTTTTGTTCTACATTACTCTGCTAAAAAAATGAATGATCATTCCTGAAGAAGAACAATACATCATACCTCTTCTGGAGCATTTTCTACCAATGTTTTTGAGTCTGTGGCAGGCTGGTTGATGACAACATTTGCAACTTTTCTTCTCTTTTCTTCTGGTTCCCCATCAGTGCTATCATTGCTGAGAAGGAACAAGTGTAAGTTTATGAACTGAAAGTATGCTTTAGGGGAAGTAATTACTTCTACAACTGAAGTCTCAGATACAATGAAATGTGGCAAGAATACAAAACAAAGAGGTTTAACACTGCAATATGCAAAATAGGTAAGTTTACACGTAAAAAAGTTCAGTGAGGAGACAGCAGAATGTCCAGACAGCTGGACATTTGGGACAGACAGCTGTCCCAAATGGGCAATCCTTCTCAGCCTTTTCCAAAAAATACAGAAATTCTTAAATAAAAATCAAGGAAAGATAATTTTGTTTACTGCTTGTTATAAACACAGTAGGTACAATAATATGTCACTATAAGTTACAGTGAGTAACACAGCATACATCAGAAAGTTGTATCGTAAATTTTTAGTGATTATCTTCTTAAATCCCGCATTTTCATGCACTATTCTCAAGCCATATTTAATAACAGGGACAAACCACAAATGTTAACTGTAGCATCCTGTTTTTTCAAGATCCCTCTGAAGCTAAGTCCTTAACAGAGCTCTATTGGGGATATAAGTACGGCACGCAAGTGTTTTACCATCGGCACAATTAGCACGTAAAAGATTAAGATACAAAGACTGTAAGAAGTTTTTCAACAGATAAATCAAATCACAATCCCAGCTGAACTGAAATAAAAGCAAACCAGTTCACTATTATACCTCTTCTCATTAGCTTCCACTGCATCTCTGGATCTTTGCTTTGCAAATAGCTTAGCCATTCTTTTGGCTTTATTCTTTTGTCTACTGCTCATACCAGCTCGAAATTCAGAGTCAATTAACTCAGCAGCCTGAAGAGTCTGAAAAAGAAGTCATTCATTGTCAATTCTTCTCACCGTGAAGGTCCTGAAAAAATCCTCAAACCCACATTGCTCTCAACTTCCCCAGCCCTCCATCATTTCAAACTCAGAGCAGCAGTTTGACATCAAGTAACAGTAACATGCAACTATGGGGCATAAAAATTCAGGAAGCCAAAGCATACCATAGTAGACATTGATCATCATACTTAAAATACAAAGATTATAACCGCAGAAGGACAAATTTAGGTTTACGGTTGGACTCAATCCTAAAGGTCTTTTCTAACCTAAATGATTCTATGATATAAAGCAAACCCACTGTATTATTCCTTGCAGCCAAACAGCCCAAGGTTTTACCTACAGGTTGTTTGTTTACTAGTGAAACTGAAGAAGGTGAATAGTCCAGATCTTCATCGTTGAACAGATCTTCAGTATTCATCCCAATTGCAGCACCCATATCTAAGCCAAGTTTCTTTTGTAACAGTTTCCTCTGTCGTGCTATCCTCTCCTTAGGATCAATTTCACCTTAAAAAAAAAGTTTTTAAAAAAGGGAATATGTGTCAGATTTCCAACCAGATGTATTATTGAACATTTGCTCACTGAAGTAACATAAGCAAGCCAAAAGTTACAGAATTAAATTGTGCTTGGCTAATACATCAATACAATCTTTTAAACCAAGTCACACTGAACCCTAGGAAGACCTTCTCTGCTGCTGAAGCTATGCTAGTACTTAAACTGTCATCAATTTTTAAGCAGAAAATAGCTCCCATGAAGTTAATTAAATTACACTTGGCCTACAGAAGTAAAAAAACAAGTTCTCCCTGAATTTTTAGGAAAGTGCACTATGAAAGGAGCAAATTAACACTCGAAAAAAATAAATCCAGCAACTGATTCAAGAACTAGTGCTTTTTTATTGAGTGCATGCATTCTTGTGGGATCTGTTGATTTTGGCAGTCTGGGTTTTTTTTTGTTTTGTTTGTTTGTTTTGGGTGGGGTTTTGTTTGTTGTTTTTTTAAAAAGGTTTCTTTTCCTCCTAAACTTTATCTTCTGTTGGAAAACACAGACCTAAGAAATAACGACCACCAATAAAACCCCTCAAATGATATTCAATCCAATATCCTGTATTAAGCTAGGTTGAATCTGAACCTGTTTTCTTCAGAAACATTCTTCCTTGTAAAATGCGCTAGACCCAGGTGTCTCCTTTCCTTCTGCCCAAACTAACTCCTGATGGCAATGTAGACTGAAGCATAAGCATGATTTTCCTAGGGTGCTGGAGTCTGTTACAATCTTATCCTCAAGCTTCATGCATCAAAAAAAGCTCATTTAGGAAGTTAACAGAACTTTAATTATTGAACACTAGACTTTGTGACCACCCACATTTACATAAAAAATAGAAGATTTTAGTGCCTGAGTAGAATAAACCCTCCAAGTAAACCAAAACTTGTAGCTTGTAGGGCTGCCAGACTTCACTCTCTTTTCACATGTGCGGTATGGAAGCCAGTCAGGAGGACTGGAATTTTTTTGGTCAAAATACCTGCACATAAACTTGTATGTAGGTGACCAATATTGTCAGAATTTTGGGGTATACACCAGGTTGAGTAGTAATTAGCAGTTAATTATATCTATACCAATAAGCGTTTGGGGTTTTTGTGTGTGTGTTGTTTTTTTTTTTAAATCACATTTAACTGACACGCAGAGAAATACAAACAACTTCTGTTCTCTAGAAAATATTTTTCCTTTCACAAGTTCATCTTAGGAAAAAGTGTCAAAGACTGCTAATTCCAAAGATTCTTTAACTTGCTTTATATCCATTCACGTTGGCTACTTACTTGAAAAGGAAAGCTGCTACAAAATGCAGAAGAGAAAACAGCCTTTTTACTTTTTCCCACCAGTTAAAAAAAGAAGCAGCAACTAAAGCTATTTTTAGTTTCCTTTCGTATTTTTTGATATTATATTTTTTATTTATTTTCATTCATAAAATTATTTATGTGCAATCATACAACACTGGGATAAATATCAGAATTCTATGAACTCAGGTGTCCTATTCCATCTGTTTGATTTCTGAAGAGGTAGGGTTTCGTTAGAAGAGATAAAACTTGTACAACCTTATTAACCTAGCATAAAAGATGGCAAGCAATAAAACAGCAGTGAGGCTTAACTGACAGGATACTGCTTAAGTGTCAGAAGCCATGGGTTCTGTTCCTTGCTGAGCTAGTGATCTTCTGTGTACACTGCACAGAACGCATCACACACAGGGAACAAGTGAATCAGGGCTATGCAGTCAGAGCAGATTCTTATCTATAGCATCATTTCATTTGGTGCAGAAACTGGAAGGTAGACTGGAATTAAAGCAGGAAAGTACAGTAATAGCAAAAAGAATCTTAGATTAAAATAATTCAATGCCATTACACTGACATAAACCAACTCTCTCAGGTAGAAAGTTGCAGAAAGATAATCAGACAAGTCACTTGAAACAAAAGACATCACACAGGCACCGATATTTGACCTTCCAGCTTTGACAGTTTTATCACAGTATTTTTCCTGCAATCTTTCTATATTTGAAACCTTCAAGCTTTTAAATAAGCCACATCCTACTACTACACTTGGGAACACTGTTTTAATGAAGAACAAGTGGTGATAGTTCCTGCGCCTCTTAAAAAAGTCTACAGAAATTCTACAGAATATTTAATATTGCTTTTTCTGCTCCCTCTTTCAGGTTTCCACACTCCTCTTCCCCCCTGTACGCATACTAATTCTGGTAAGAGAAAAAACAAACAATACGCACCCCCTAAAAAAATCGTTTAACTTGAGAAAGATAATACAAACCAGTTATGTTGCAGAATATTTTCTTCTGTTATTTCCTAGCATGCTGAGAAACCATGGATGACTAGACTCATAATACTGCCACAACAAACTTTTTCAAATCAGTAAGTTTTCTTGTCTGCAAGTAAAATACAAAGATATACCTGATTTATCATCTTGGACTTCAAATTCTGCACCAGCAGATCCAAGAAGAGATGCACCATGTTTTAACAAACGACATATATCAAATCTGTCAAAACGCAACCGATCTGTTGAAGGTGAATCTTCCATAGGACTTTCTGAGCCTGGTTCTAGATAGGACATTGAAAATAATATTAAGGACAATGTGATGAAATTTTTGTTCAAAGTTCTGGCAGAAGATTAAGTGAGAGAAAGAGGAAGAAATAATTTCTCTCCTCCAAAGGAATCATCAGACGTACAGCATTTTGACATACAAAGTGTAAAGGCTCCACTTCACAAAGACAGACTGAAAAAGCTCACTTAACACACTTAATGGAGTAGAAAAAGATTTTAACGTTTTTCCCTTGATAAATTGAGCTTTTTAAAATCTTGGACACTGACATACCACTAGGTCTTCTCTGTACACATACGGCCAACTTGCAGTTTGAACTGCATATGGCTCACAGATAGTTCAAACAAGTATCATGCCAACACTGTATCATACGACCAACAGGCAAGCATCCCTGGTATGGAAGCTGGAGAGTAGTCTTAACAGGTATGGGAGAAAGTCAGCTACCAAGGGCTGCTGAAGACTAGTTCAGCTCTTCTCAAATCCAGTTGCAGATACAGTGTAGTTCAATACTGATACAGAAGAGATTTGTTCCTCACAAGGTGTCCTATCATTTCCTAGTCATGAATTCACTTCCAAAGCATTTCCTCCCCTCAACACTCAAAGATTAGTGTGTTTTGTGGCTCCTAGTCATGTGCAGTTTAGGATCCAAAAAGATTGGCCATTCCTTCGTAATCCAGCACGCTCACATCCTGAATTACAACCAGCAGTATAAATACAGTTGTTGCCTACAAGAAATACAGCATTTAGTTTGGTGTGTTTCATCCCACACTTACACTTATTTATGAAAGCTTGTTCATTTACAGTAGAATGAGTCTAAGTGCACACAGAACACTGTACAAAATAAACACCACCTACATTTCTTCAGACCTGAAGAAAAAGTTAACATTCATTACATGTATAAAAAAAGAGAACTGATTTATAGCAAGCCTAAAAACCTAAATGCAACCAATCAAACCACTGTAAGACACGTGTATTTTACTACTACATCAAACAATTTAACTGAAATAAAAGAAACAAATGTCTGCATAGCCAGTTAGCCCTGTTAAATGGTACCTTTTTCTCAAACACACGTAATTACCTTTTTAATTTCATATCTGACAGGCAGATATGCAAGAACTGGACAATGCATGTAACCCATCATTAGAAACAGCTGCTGTACTTGAAGACTGACAGGTTGCCCCATTTCCATGTACAAAAGGAGTGCTGTAAGTAATTCTTAGAACTAGACTGGTGAACTTAACTTCTACCCTTGGTAAGATAGTAGAGTCTATAAATAAAGTTATTAAGTATATGGATAAATGTGACTTACTGGGAAACAGTCACAATGGCTCCTGAAAAAAACCCCTCTCATTAACCTGATTATCAATGTCCTTAAAGAGCTCCAAGAAGTGGATAGAGGGGATCCAGTGGACGTAACATATTCAAAAGCTTTTGGCAAAGTTTCATATAAAAAATTGAAGGAACTAAGTTACCACAGAATTGGGGAAAACATCCTTTTACAGACTGAAAGCTGGTTAAAGACAGATAAAAGCTAGCTTTGGAGTCCTTCAGGGATCAGCGTTGCAACCAATTCTAGCAGTTTTTAGCAATGGGAAGGAGATTTCACTATGCACTGTTCTCCAAGCATGTAGATGACACTAAGCTCTTTTGGGTAACCAAAAGTTACAATGGCACTAAGGAATCCAAGAAGGACTCTCAGAACAGACTAATGGGCAAAGAGGCAGATAAGCTGCAAAATTAATAACTTAAACCATGCCTACACAACACTGAATTCAGAACTGGCAGTTAACGTTCAATAAAGATCTTGGAGGCACTTCTGACAGTTTTCTGTATTCACCAGCTTATTGGGCAGTGACAGCCAAACCAGACAACTAAGTACTGGGCATCATCATGAAGGAGGCTGAAAACACGACGAAGTGCATCGTTTTGCCACTATGATAAATATCAGTACTCTAGAGGTGTAGGTACACTGTGTGCAGTTCTCTGCATCTCAGGGAGGACACAAGTGAGAAAAAGCACAGAAAAGCATAAATAAAGTTATCTAAAAGACAAAGCAGCTGTCCTGTGAGGAAAGACTGAAGAGACTGCAGCTCTTCAATCTGCAGAGAAGAAAGTTGTTGGAGGAAAGCAAATATGATGGTTTACAAAAATCATAAAGGCAGTGGATAAGGCAAATGCAGAACTTGCTTGTCAAATTCTATAGCAACAGAACCAGGAGGCACTGAATGAAACAAATATGAGATCACCTCAAAACAGATATGAGTTTTGTTGTGGTTTTGTGTTTTTTTTTTTTTAAACAGTTAGTGAATTTCTGGAACCTGTGCCACTTAAGGTTGTGAACACAGACAGTGCCAACAGGTTTACACAAAGTCACTGACAATAGGTCCATTAGTTGACATAAAAGCAACTCTAACATCCCTAGCATGACAATTTCAGATGCAAAGCGAGTACAAACAGAATAGACTTCAGCAGGCTGCCATTTCACCTCCCTCAGAAAGGCGCTTTGAGCAAGGGAACAGAGAAGAAAGCATCTGCAAAATATTATGACAAAGTTGATTGGTTAAAACTTTTGTCATTTTACTAGTTATTATTCCTTTTATTTATAAAAGTAAAGCTTTATGAGGGTACAGAGCACAAGCACAGGAATCTTAGAAGAAACAAAGGTCAGGCACATCGTTGTAATTGAATATGAACATCTAAAGCCAAAGAGGTTTACTACAGTCCATGCATATAAAAAAGTCTGTGCTCATAAGAAAACAGAATGACACAGTTGCCTTGAAAAGTCTCATATCACAGTCAGTTTGCATCAGATAAAAAATAATTCATTTAAAAAGCACCTTGTTTTGATCTCGGAGTTGGATTCCACTCAGGTACATTTTTCACTATTGCTTCAACAGCCTGGCCAGCTGCAATACGAGTATCCCAATTCGTACTTCTTAAATACACTAACACCTTTAAGGAGAGATTAATAAATAAATAAATATTTTTACTTAAAACATACTTTGAGAAAAATCTATCAGCTGTAATGCTCTATTAAAACACACTTACTTTTAATGCTATGGATTAAGACAACATTCAAAACAACAAAAACAAAGGACAAGAAAACAAACCAAAGAAATGTGAGCAGCCCTCTCTGTATTGCTCACTGCTTAGCAGAACCCTTGCCATAGCCAGAAAATTAAGAATTTGTAAGATATATTTAGTCCCATCAGTCAAACTCAACCTTGATTTCCTCCAGGTACTGAACAAGGCTTGAGACTTTTGGTTTTTTGCTTTCTAAAAGGAAGTGTTCAAGAGAGATTGATAGACCTTAAAACTTTGAAATCATTTAACCCAAGAAGAGGGACAACATGGGTCACTTGAAGCAACATATACTCTTCTAAACTAATTTAGCACTCTGTCTCAAATCTGGAAAAACTATTTCTTTCTCTGAAAGTGGTTTGATATTCATGATTCCTTAGCCACTCTGTTGATACCATCAATTGTGGTGAGGGCACCTGTTCAATAAGAGCAGAATTGAGGTCACTCAGCCATCTCCAGCTGTCAGATACAGGCTATTTTTGGTGTTTTTACTGGACTTGGCCAGATTGAAGTCTCAAACTAATGGAAAACTCTTTCCATTTTCCGGCCCTTTTAAAGACATGCAGCCTCCTATATTTTTAATGCTGTATCACACCAGTAACAATCTTTAAAGGCAGAGGCAGAAATTTTTTTAAGAGAGTAAAGCTTCTCTTTATAGAAGAAAATTTGAATTTACAGCAAACATTGAATATCAATACTGAATGCAAAGTGAAACCTAACTTATGTAACCATTTCAGAGGCTGACAAAACAGCAGGCTTAACAGAAGCAGTCTCCTAATTTTCTTTAGTCTCCTATTTTTGGAGAACACAAGACTACTACGCTTTTTCTTCTTTTTCCCACAGAACCCACACCCCTTTAAACTAGTTTTATTCTCACCATTAAAGTACTGAAAGCAAGCTAAAAAAAAAAAAAGATGCTTACTTTGGATAAGAGATTATTCAGTTCATGAGGATGCAGTTTCACTACTTCCCCAAGTTGCTGTGCAGCTGCTTTTCTTGTTACTGGTGTTGTACCGGTGTCCAGTAAAATAAAGAGACGATCGAGCCTAAATGTGATTGACAAAACCCGAAAATGTTACGCTATTCATAGTTCAGGGGCCTATTTCTATTAATATTCCCCCATATTTTTCAGTTTATCTAACGCAAACAGAAGAAATATTTGCCTGAAGACTCTCAATTGACAGGGTGACAAATGAACTTTTTTTCCTAATAGTAAACACATTTAATTTGGTAAGCAAAAAAATTAACAGACAAACTGTTATAAACATTAATTTAAAAAAAAAAACCCGCCGTTACAAGAAAAAATTATCTTGAAAAATAAATACTGTTAAGTTGTAAATTATCTTCGTCAATTCTGTCTGATAGAGAAAGCAAAGGGCTCAACTGCTCATACTGTGCATTATAATTTCTTTTGAAGACATAGCCTGTGATGTATATTACCAAACTCTGCTTTTCCAGGATACCACAAATTTTTACTTTTCACACATTTCACCCCCTAACTACCTGGAATATATAAGACAAAACCTGTTGTTGAATTTACAGCTTTGAAATGGTATGATACCTCTGGCCTTCCCATGAAATACAGGAATTTAGCCAGATCTGTTTTCACAGTAACTCTGTATTTAGTGAAAGAGACCCCAATCATCTATTTTCAGAATAGCTAGCTTATTTCTTGTTTAGAGTTACTGAATGAGAAAGTCATCATATAAAAAAGCACGTAAAAATAGAGACTACCTAGAAAATCAAATCAATGATGGAAGTAACAAATGTTCATTATTCCCTCCACTATAAGTGGGACAGTTAGAACTCTTTACAGAGTGCCTAGTTTATCCATTAGTTATTGGGCAGTATGAAGTCATTACTGAATGCAAGTCTAGAATCTGTCCATATAGTGCAATCAGAATTTGTCCCTTCTAGCCTTAATCATACTCCTCCAAATATTACAACAATATGAAGCTGGAATTTACACAGCACTGAAGCTCACCTAGATCAGCCTAACGAAATAAGGATACAGGTACCCTGAACAACTCCCCTTCCTCATAAACACACACATATTGAGCAAATACAGGAAAAGGACAAATGTTTTGCCTGTTAGTCTGTTGCTACTAATTACATTTCACCAAAATTGCTTTTAGCATTAGTTCCAATCATTAAAAAAAAACACAAAAAACCCACCCTCTCTTTCCAACATCACTGGATTTTTGTATTTTGACACACTTAAACCACATTTACTCCTGAGAATATCTTATGTGTCACAACGCAGTAGAAACAGCAATGCTACAGAGCCAAGGCTGTTCCAAAACCCAAATGCTCTAACAACTGAAGATACTAGATTAAACATCCATTAGACAAAAAAATTTCTAACTGAAAATATCTCAAATCATCCTAGTATTTTAGACACACTTCTGATATTTGCCAGCTTTGAAATAATTCTTTTCTACTACTAAAGTAGGTGAGCTCATTTCAATTTCTGCAGATAAAACTGGAGTTTCAATTGCTATGATTTACTAGTTAGTAAATTGTTTTAAAGTTACATAAAAATGAAAACCCAAACATATCTAAACTGGCAGTTTTGTGTGATTAGATAGTCAAGGAGGAAAGTAAAAGCTTTAGAGATCTAACTCTTCCAAATCACTGATAAGAGGACTAGTCAGGAGGAACATACCAGATACTTTGTTATTTACCAGTATTTTTTCTTTAATACATTTGACAGTAATAATGCACCCTGATTTGCAGCACTCGGTATTATTCAGTACAAAATACGCTAGCTTGCAGAGCAATCACAGCTTTCTCTAACTTGCTTGTTCTCTCATTCTTAAACTCACCCCTTCCAGTCTTCATCTCTCCGTGAAACTTCAGCGTTCCATACTCAAGTTTGTCATTTAGCACCACCCACTCCTTTAACTATCAAAGTATCTTTTTTTCATCCCCAAAGTCAAGCAGAATATGCAACTTAGACCACTTCCTCAGCTAGAACTCTTCATGTGCCAAAACAGGAGGAAACCACTATGATGGCCTACCCTCAAAAAACCTCAAGTTTAATTCCAATCTTAGTTACAAGACTAGATATTCACTCCTAAAACCCACAACTTTTTGAAGCTGTATTACCTACAAAATAGTTGTGTGTTGTTTTTTTTTAACCTGCAGTATGCTTAGTTTGTAATTTGTGATTTTAAATTGTAATACGCTTAACTTGCACACAAATGCAAAATAAAACAAAAAAAATCTTTCTGTTGTCTCACATCGCTATAGGAAGGTTTCAGCATTCAGCCCCAGCAAAATAAATGGAAACAGGATTGGCAAATACAGCTAACTAACAGTAGACTAAGAGTACTCCTGGTCATGCCAATCATTCTTCCTTTCCCTCCCCCAGACTTCCCTGAGGTACAATTCCCAAACAGTTAATATTTCGGAGGTATTTCTTAAGTTTTGGTGTTGCTGCAGCAGAGTATGGCAGAGCCTGAATTCTCCTGCTCTAATTGGAAGGGTAGCACTGAGACAGTCGCCACAGATCAGCAGCACTATTTTTTTTTAATTTAAAGTTTTCACTCTTAGTTTCATTAAGAATTAAAAAAAAATACTAAAAATTCTAAACAAATTAATTTTGAGGACATGCAGTTTGGAAAGAAACTTCCTAAGTTCTGGTACGGTTTTTATAGTCTCTAAACTAGTTCTTAAAGCCAAAGAGAACTAAAAGTTTTCTAATGGCATGTGGTTCTGCCTCTCACATTAGGCAGTGCTGTAACCAGAGCACTGCCTGACTCACATCATTCACAAATGTAACACAGAAGTCTGAATCAGTGTGGTAGAATGAAATGCTCTACAATGCAGATAAAATTTTTAATTATTTTTATGAAAGAGTTCAACACAGCTGTCAGAAAGTTGTCTGTCAGAAAGTTGTTCTAAGAATACCGAAGACACAAGCAAACGAGAGAAATACAGGGAGTACTTATGTGGGGAAAAAAAAAAGTAAAAAGAAAACCAAAGAGATTTACGGATTGTTACGAAAAATCTAAATACCAACGAATGCTAAAAATGAAATATTCTCTAAAACTACTTCTCCTGCACATTAACTGCTGTCATCAGAGCTTAAAAATACAAAATCCTTCACTTTTAACTCGTAAGTAATGGTTTAGATCATCTTTCTAACTCACCTTCCAATCCTGAGTCAACTACATCCCATTGACAGGACAGCAACCATACACCACCTCTATGTGAACTCATGCTATATGAGCTCATTACAAAGCACTAACTTATTTAAAGAAGTAGATACCTTTTTCCTCTCACTTGAGAAATTTGAGATTTTTCTAATCATTGCTGAAGTATATCAGCAAGATAGAACTTGGAGCAGCAATTCAAAGATCTTATGAACAGCATTACATTCAAATTAAGTTATTTTTTCTTCTAAGAAATACCACATGAGCTTTTACACTGACACAGAGTTCACTAGAAATTTTTCTGACACAAAAACATCAACTCAGGTGCTTTTTCTGACACAAAAACATCAACTCAGGTGCTAGTAGCATCTGAGACACTTCAGAATGAGTCATGCACATGGGGTCAGCAGACATGACACAGGATGCAGAAGATCCTTGTCATTCTGAAGCAGCAAGGACACGTTATACCATCTAAACTGGCACCAGAGACCTAGATTAGGCAAGTGAATCCTCCCCACAAATATTCCAAGTCATCAAACCTAGAGCATTTCATTAAAGCACACTAGATTTGAAAAGACTAAAGCCTGAATTCTTACTTTCAGAATAGAACCGCCTGAGAGATATTCAAGAATAATCAGTAGGTCTGTGATCAGGATATTAACTGGAACAGCAATCCCAAACTGGACTAGACACTTCCACCAGTAGACTACTACCACTCAAACAATTCTATTAACAATCCTAAAAAAAAAATAAAATTAACTTTTAGAGAAAGATTGCAGGCAAGAAGAATTCTAACAGTAAACAATTTGATTTGCATTGCTATTCATCAGAATAGCAAGGTTGGTCATAAGGGGGCACATCATCTCTCTAATCAACACTGTTACGCAGAATGATTATGCATACAGGCTTAGTTCAGTTAACTAAAGGGGGTTTTGTGAATGAAAGTCCACAGAAACTGTTAATGACCCCCAGTCACTAAACATAACAAGCCTTTTGCTCTTCCAGTGCATTATCACAGCAAAGACAACAAATAAAAAAATTAAAGGACAAACATGAGAGCAAGTACTTTCAAAAAAGCCATCACAACTAACTCAGTGACACCCTCCAGGTAGCATGGTGATTCCATGTTCTAGTCACTGCTTTCCAATCAGCTTTGCTTATTCAGCATTAAACTAAGTTAGATATGTACCCAGGCACAGCAGGCAAATGTTGCTACAAATGACCTGTTCTGTTCTTCATGCTAATATTCAGTTCTTTGCTGCCTAAAGGTATGTCTCCAAATAGAGGGCTGATCTCCATTTGAAGGGACAGTTATCATATTTAAAGTGAACCTTATGGCACTCCTGTGGAAACTGGATGATGTGGATTTGAAAGCCCTTCAGCTATAGAGGCATTAAAAAGCCAGCAGCGGGACAATTAATGATAAGGTCAAGATACAGAGGTTATCAACAGTATCTCCAAAATGTTTCCAAAAGAAGACATATGCATCTGAATTGTATAAGGATCCTGATCATCCCAGTGTAAGCAGTCTGACTGAATGGGGTCTCCACACGACTTCAGATGGGGAAACTTCCAATTTGTTGATTTCAATGAGCTGAGGCTTGAAAGGGACTGTGAACTGATCACTGCTGCCAATGAAGTGATCCTTTTGGACTCTATCTCTGTGTGCAGCAGTATGTTTAACTGGACAGGGAGCAGTCTTTGACAGTAAAGGCCAACTGGTACAGAACAACTCATAACCATCCTAGCATATCCTCCAACCCATTAAAATTTCTGACTGTAAAAAAAACCCTTATTGGCATAGTCCCTGGAACACGCTAATGTCAAACTCTATCTAGAGCTCTTTGGAAAACTGCTAGCTGGCACCCATCAGAAGGCAAGGGAATACT